CACTGCCCTCCCCTTTGAAAAGCAACATGTTAACGGTTTGACAAAAGAAAAGCTTTGCTATGAATGAATAAATATTTAATGTTCTTTTTCCACAATTAAATATGATCTACTTTTTTTTTTTAAAATGGCTTATGTCCTACACTAGAGCCAAACACTTCCAGGCCCACAAATGGCATCACTTTCTTCAAATGGCCCCTCCATCTCTAGCCTCAGAAGTCATGATAAACTTAATACATTTCAGTTTATTCAAGGTGAGAAAAATAGGTACCATTTTAATTTGAGTCTTGGGGAAATAGCATTTCTCTCTATCTAAATATTACAGGTCCATCTGCTTCTGTACATTGGTGACAATAATAGGAATACTGTTAATATCTCGCACTTTTATAGCACCCTCTATCCCAGGACCTCACTGTGCTTTATTAATATTAATTTAGCCTTGTTACACTTTTCTGAGATAATGCCATTTCACAGATGAGAAAACTTATGCAGAGAGAGAGAGAAAGTGACATGCTCAACACCAGAAAGTCTTTGGCAGAGCTGAGAAGCAAACCCTGGTCTCTTATCTAACCGTAAGTCCCCTGAGACAAGAGCACACTAAAACTTTTATGTGAGATCATTTTCCATATGTGGTACACTGTAATTTAGTGCATCAGGTTCATGGTAGCATGTTTGAAATTTCAAACAGAAACTTTGGCAGATTTGACTGCTGGAAGATTATCTGTAAGTAAAACTGGTTGCCACTGGCAAGAGCTATGTAGATATGCACCTCTTGTCTTCGGAAGATGATTTATTGCAGACACTTGGCAAGCTTCAAAGGGCTTACAATACTAACAGAGAAGACGATAAGCTGACTATTTTTTGCCCCTGGTTAGCGCCTTTTCACTTTTCTCTACCCTCATATGGGCATTAAGCTCTACTTTAGAAATCATGAAGTCTTTCACAATCCTGTTCACAGTTATGTTATACATGATCACTTAATGAAACCTATCCTGACCTTGTCCTTGTTGAACCTCATCAGATTTCTTTTGGCCCAATCCTCTAATTTGTCTAGGTCCCTCTGTACCCTCTCCCAACCCTCCAGCGTATCTACCACTCCTCCCAGTTTGGTGTCATCTGCAAACTTGCTGAGGGTGCAATCCATGCCATCCTCCAGATCATTAATGAAGATACTGAACTTGACTCAACCCTTTTTTTTAGATCTGAGGATGTCAAAAATCAATGTGTATTTTCTGGGGGTAGCTGAGAAACATCAGATTCAATACGTCAGCCAGTGCTCCCAACAGATTCTGAAACTGCAGTCCTCCAGTGGTGACATTGCCACCACTAGCTTCTCAAAGGATGTGGAAGAAGCCAGCCTGTCAGTACAATCCATGACTTCCATATCATCAGCCATCCTCCAATTTTGACAGGATTTCTGTCTAGATTATCCTCATTCCTGATCAAAGGACAGCCCTCAAGATGGAAGTGTGGTAAGACAACATGGGTAAAAGAACTCTAGTTTTCCTCAGAGAGAAGAAGCTAACAGGAATAGATGTGTCTAGATTCTAGGGTATTCGGGCAAAAAAGAAACCAGTGGTGATTGCTCCTCAAAGAGCCATATTGTCCAAAAGCTCCCCAAGGAAAGGAAATCTGCAGAAAGGGGTATGGGAGAAACCCACGTAAGTAAATACCTATCTAGGAGAAGACCAGACCCCTTCAAAAGTGCATAAGGGTCTTCCAAAGATGAGAGCAAACCAAATGAGCTTCAAAGCCTGTTCCTGATGATGCCAAGGCTAAGTTGGGTAGCTCTTGGAAGGAAGGACTTCTTCAAAGATGAAGAAGGAAGACTATGAGGCAAACTCGAGTTATCAGGCTCAGAAGACCTATGACAAGCCAAGAATATGGCACAGGAGCCAGGGTCTCCCTCTAATTCAAAAACACAGGCTTATCAGGTCACCCAAAGATGGGGTCCTCAGATCCAAGACTCCCTATGGAAGCTTCAGATCCAAATAGCTCAACTGCCTCAGACCTATCCTTCCAACCATAGCACATGTGCTGTTCAGGTGGCTGGTCTGCAGCATGCCACCTAGAAAACTCACCTGAGCTTCCTCAGGACAGAATCACAGGGACGGTGGATAGAAGGGGCAGCAGCGAAGTCCCGCAGCCAGAATTTAAATGTTAACTGTAATACTTTACCAATAAGGCTGATACTTATCGGTTAATCGCTTAACCGGTTAACATTTTACATCCCTATTCAGAACAAGCACTGCCATCTCCAAGAAGCAGAATGATCAAGCCACAGACCCAGAGGTACAGATACAACAACGGGTACCTGGCACCCAAGGAATGATTCCCTCAAACCTGAAGCAGACTACTTTGAATCTTATGTGGAGCCAACAAGCACTGTTAACCTTAGAAAGACCAGGATCTGTGGAAATCAGATCCATCAAATTAGCTTTCACAGCCTTCTGCAGAAGGAAGAGCTGTAAATACTGTCTCATATATTCTGGGCCCAAGATGTAAAACCTCAGACAAACCAGCACACCTCAGGAAATAGTCTTCTCTGAGATGGAGTAAACAATACGAGTACTGACGTGCCAAATATTTCTGATCCACAGCATGCTTTGTTCAAAGCCTGTGTTGTTTTTTTTTTGGTCAGAATAATCCATAGCCTGGACTAAAACCAGGCCCATTCACTGAAGCAGTTTTATGACATTCACTGAGTGAAATAACAGTTAGTGACCAGGACCAAACCACTCAGACCCTAAGCTGGTGCCAAGAGGATACTCTGCAACAAAGCAAACACCTAAAAAGCAACACTAATTACACTAAACTAACCAGCAATCACCCTACCCAACACAGATTCAGCAGGAAAATCAGAATAAATAATGAAATTGTAAAGCTGATGGTCACAACACTTGCAGCGAGCTATGACAACACAGAAACAGATGGCAGCTGGTGCTGCTGGTCCCTCTTTTGTAACCTGGCTCTGAACACACAGATTCCTTGATGGGGGCATACATGCGGCCCCAACGGACACTGCTCTTCTAAATAGTTCTGAGCTCAAGACACTGGGCATCCACATTCAATGAGTGGGTTTCTGTACAATTCTCTATGGAATCTCTAGCTCTCTTTTTTAGCACCACAAGCGAAGTATGATATGAAAAATTGTTATAGAATCTGAAGTACACACTACATTTCAATGCATTGGAGAATTCTTATAAATTACTGTTTGTAATATAGCACAATCAGACAAGAGAAGACAGAGCCACATGCATGAAGTTTCACTGGAGAAGTAGAGAAGAGCAACGTTTAAAAAATTTTAACAAATGAAAATTGGAAATATTTATGGTCCGCTTTATCTTAAAAATATATCTATTTTATAGATTAATAGATTTTAGTGGCAGAAGGGGCCATTATGATCATCTAGTTTAATCTTCTCATAATACAGGTCACAGAGTTTCACCAAATAATTCCTGCCTGGAACTAGGTAACTAAGGCTGTGAATGGGCAAAGAAATCAACCTATGTTCTTATGTTCTATGTGGAGTCAACAGGAATCTGCATTGAGTGGTATCTTTCCAAGAGTGGGGCCATGGAAGTTATTCCATGAATATATCACTATCCACACAATGACATTTAATTTTTCCTGATAAGAATGTACAGTCTCATTTGAGCACAATACTTCAAATAGTGAGTTACAAATATTTAAGAATGTTTCTATATTTTTAAAAAGAACAGGAGTACTTGTGGTACCTAGAGACTAAAAAATACTAGATATTATTAACGTGGGTTTGAATAGAGACTGGGAGTGGCTGGGTCATTACACATATTGAATCTATTTCCCTAAGTTAAGTATCCTCACACCTTCTTGTCAACTGTCTAAGTGGGCCATCTTGATTATCACTACAAAAGTTTTTTTCTCCTGCTGATAATAGCTCATCTTAACTAATTAGCCTCTCACAGTTTGTATGGCAACTTCCAACTTATCTGTATGTACATATATATCTTCTTCCTATATGTTCCATTCTATGCATCCGATGAAATTGGCTGTAGTCCACGAAAGCTTATGCTCTAATAAATTTGTTAGTCTCTAAGGTGCCACAAGTACTCCTGTTCTTTTTGCAGATACAGATTAACACGGCTGCTACTCAGAAATCTATATTTTTAATAATTTATTGCACAAAATTTTATTTTAGAGAACAAGTCGGTCTCCAAATTAATTTTTCAGAACAGTAAAAAGTTCCTACTTTTTGCATTTTTAATCACTTTAGTTAAACAACTCTCAGGCCTTCTATACTGCATAAGTAAACTGAATGCATGACTTGAGTGATGGGACCCAACTCTGGCCACCTACTACATGCAGGTGGGACCCCCTGCAGAGCCCCAGTGTGGGGCTCTACACTGACACCAGGGAACAGGTTATAGGATCAGGGCTATAAACTTATAAATTACGGGGGGATTTTCAGAAATGTTCATCTTTGGTATCATATATTTCTCCCGTTGAGGTCACTGGAAAAAATCCAGTGGATTTTAAATGAGAGCAGAGCTAGACCAACATTGACTGCTTTTGAAAATCCTACTCTACAAGCATTACTGTATTTTCCCAATCAAACAAATGAAGAAAAAAGTCAAATCAAGCCTGGCTAAAGAAAGTTAAATTGATATCCCTAAATTGTAAACCTAAAGCTAAAAGACAAATGAGAATTCCTGAGTTTAACATTTGACAGCAAAGTAGCTTTATTGATATTTATGCTCCTTTTCAAAATTGCTGCTCTTGAGCTTGCGATCCCTACCTGTAGTATAAAACCAGATCCACCTTGAAGAACATTAGAACCAAAGCACTAATGTAGTTCAAAGCTGGGAGAAGACAGAGAATCTAAAAGGATCCCAGAAGGAATGGAAGACTTGAAAGCTTGTAACAGAAAACCTATCCCTTCATTTTGTATGATTGAACACATACAATACACTTACATACCCTGCAGCTATAAACCTAACTGCTTGTGAACTGAATCTCTTTACCTGACGCTGTTGTAGCTACTCTTCCATCAGTTACTGCTTTGGAAGAATGATATGTAATCATCTGAGTATCTTCCTTTTCTTTACTGGGGTACTCATTACGGAAAGTGGATTCTGTGGATAATGGTGCTGTAACTTCCAAACTACGGCTTAAGTCAAGAGGGAGACATGGTCCACGCTTCTCAAGTGACATATGAGCAACATCAGGTACTACACAAAAAAAAGAATGTAATATTAACAAAGATATATAAGCCCAACAAACAACAGGGTCGCAGTGTTACAATAAACGAACAGCATATAGCTAAAGGTACTCAATGTTAGTGAAAGATATGGTGAAAAAAAATGTGAAAGGTCTTATTCTTTATGATTGTTTCTCTTGGGTTGTTCTTTATTAGATTAAATACATTACCCTCTGATATTGATGGCTGTTGATTTTGAGCACTGATGGAGAACACTTTTCCATCAGTGACTGGAGAGGGAGAAGGAACTTTTTGTATAGACTCATCAGGCAACGAGCAAGTGGCTAAACGCTGTGATCTTCTTCTCCTCTGGCTATATTTGTAGGATCTAGGGGGATTCACTGGCTGTGATGGACCTAAAAAGAGATCTTTCAATGTTCATGAAGTAGAGATACGTCATAATCTTACGGAAATATTTTAAGATCTAGAGAAGGGTCATGCTTTACATAGTTCTCTTCTGCAGAACTGCTAATCACATTGTGCTTTGTAAAAATGATTAAAAACTATGAATATCAGATGAATGTTAATGTTTGAGGCAAGATTTTGGTTTTTTGCTTCATATATTACTATAAGAATTTGAGGATCTAGCCTCCATGGATATAGAGGAGGTCCTTATGCAAATAACCTATTTGCATTAAGGGGAGCCACTTCACAAATCAATAAGAAAGTAGACAGCTTAAAGTTTAAGAAACAATAGGATTTCCAGTATAGCAACATAATTGTCACAGTAAGACTTTAAAATAAACTCACAAAAAGTAATGGTTCATTTTAGTTCTAATCTCTCCACTTTCTGCTAAATTGATATTAACACCCTGGTAACAGCAAATACAGAAACATTAACTGTCAATGCACTACATAGCAAGAAGTCTAAACCCCAGCACGAAGAATCTCAAATGAAGAGAAATATATGTAGATATTATAGGCCTGATTCATTAAAAAAATAAAACCTCACTTATGCATGTTTCATATATTGTACTTGGGGAAATGTGCTTTACCTGCATAAATTAGAGTTTTGTAAATCATTAATTCTTTTTCCTCCTTGCCTTACCTAGCTTCCGCTGTGTCATACTAAAGATTTGCAGTAGCAACAAAAATTACATTTCTATTTTAAAAAAAGTCAAAAGAGGTGGGAGCTGTTACAAACCATAATAAAAAAATTAGGTATCTAGGCAATGAAGATACAGTTTGTTTGTTTTTTTAATGGCAAGCAAATGTATAGCTTCAGTCCAAAACACAAAACCTCCTCAAGCAAAACTACTTACCGACATCTTGGGGGTATTGCAACATGTGTGGATGACAGTGTTTTGTGGGGGAAATTTATAACATGATTTAAAACCAATTATATTTATTGAGAGAATACAGAAAACTGAACTGGCTCATCTCCCTCCCCCATTCAATTAAAATTTGCTACAAGTTTAAGAGACATTTATCTCCTCAAGAAGATGTCAACTGTAGATGTAAGGATGCAACATGTGATGAAGGAGTCCTCTTCAGGCCTTATTTTGTCACAGCTCTGGGAGTGAAGCAAAACGTAGGCTTTTGCTTTACAGAAACCCATGTTAGTTATAACTGTTGACTGCACGACTTTGCCTTCTTTGAGCAACAACATGTCTTTAAGAGGTGAAGCTCAAAACAAATCTGAAAAGGCTACACTATCCCTCTCCAGTAAAAATAACATATAGAGAGTGAGTAATGCTCAAAAATGTAATACAATCATTCAAGGATGTTATGCAGCAGATAAGTTTCAACAACTCTTCTGTCCACCAACAATATCTTGATATTTTGCAAACCTGTTCCATGTTTTAAAAAGGCTGAACTACTAAGGTGTTTTCACACAGGTACATCAAAACAGTCCACTGAAGGCAGAGTTCCTCAATGATGGAAAGGAAAGATCCACAAGAAAACTGCACATATTTTTAATGAATCAGGCCCTTTAAGAAGAGGTGTTTGTTTTCTCCTGTATCACTAGTACCATTAGTGTGGAGATTCATACAATGGAACTTAAAATCATTAAAAGCCATGACTTTCTACTACCATAAAAGTGCCATTATTACTTGCACCATAATTCACATACCACATTACGTGACTTTACTTTTTATAAGTTTGAGCTATCCCTAATGCACCCACTTACGTTTGAATTTTTTTTTATAAAAAGCAGATTCATTGTAAAAAGCAACATTAATTTACAATCAATTATTTTTCTGTATATTTCTTATGACTATAAGGAATTATGGTATTTTTTAAAATGTCTGTGCTCACTAGTTTTATTTATCACAGAAGAAGGAAGCTGAGAGACCAGTGTCAAATCCTCGACTTGTATTAACTCTGGGGAAAGTGGTGATTTAGGGGGCTTTATACACCCAGAAGAATCTCCAGATTCTTGTTTGCATTTCTTGCTGCGAGCCTTTCCTGAAGACAAAGTTGAGGATAACAGTGCAGGTTTCTGAGTGTTGGCAGAACTGCTAATATCAGCTTCATTTTTTTTCTGACTTTGAGGTTTAGGTGAAATCTCCTGAATAAATAATAAGAAATTGATACTTTTATTTCAGTTTCTTCATTGTGGTTCTTGTATTCTACTTTGATCTTTTTTAGCATCTTTAGTATTCAAAAACATTTATTCAAAAACATTTTTAAAGCCAACATTTAACATTTCCAATACAAATGAAAAACAGACTCAAATGTATCAAAGTAAAAGTTGAGCAAGCTGTTTGTTTTTAAAGGGACACTGCCAATGACTTTCATCCTTAAAAGTTTCTCTTCGTTTCTCATTGCTTGCAATACCCTCAAAAAAAGCTTAAACACATTATTTTCTCCTACCAACTATCCAATATCCATTTGACAAATAGTGCATTTTGCTGTTTTTCTAATACAATAAAATACTTTTCATGTCCATCTCTCTCTCTCTCTCTCATTATGAACCATCATCATCAATGTTTTCGGCAAGAATAAAGAATGACTTAGAGAACAACACTATTGCTACTAACCAGAATGGGAAGTAGATATGTTAGCTTTGTTGTGATCACACCACAAATCAGAAGTTAAGTTTCTCAGCAAGAGTCATCCATTTAAAATAAATATTTAGAAGTTGGATGTCATTTTCCACAAATTTACTTCAATTTTGAAGAACCACCTGAAAAGGTTGACAGTGCCCCTTTAAGGAAAGTCTTAGAACAACAAACAATAATGAAATTTGAGCACAACCCCTTTCAGTGCTGGGAGTCTGGATTTCACCACACTACTTGCTTGTGCTAATGTTTCATGAAATCGCAACTTCTAGCACCACGGGGTTAAATAGATTGTTAACTGTAAAAAAACAAGCAGATAAAATATAGGCTAAAAAAAACCAACACTTTTTGAAAAGCAAAATATGCTGCATTTTCTAAAGCTGAAAATGTTCACCCTTCCTTTTAATGCATGTACTGAAATATTTAAAAATAATTAATCTGAATTTACAGCAATTAGCATTTTACATTTTTTGCTAGAAGGAGGTTCTCTTACAAGCTGAGTAATCTGTAACAATATTAGTACTTGCCCAATAATGGCAGCTTGTACATATCTGAACACATGACCTCAAATTTGTTCCATCTATTGCCCAGTTGAATATGCATCATGGTATTATGTTAGCTAATAAAACCATAATTATGAAAGTGTAAACTTTTGTTTCTAGAACGTGCGTGCCACTTTCTCCAAAAAGATTTCACTCCACTAACATTTGGGGGCATTTCCCAGTTTTCAGACCTCTCTACTTCAGAGGACTGCATTTTTGGTACTGAATAGAAGCTCTCTTTTCCACTGGAACATGGGAGCTGCAAGTTCCAGTGGAAATATAAAAAAAAGCAGCACACACTACATACTTAAAAAAGGGCACCCTTGCGTGCTATATGAATGGCATGCTGGAAGTACCACGTAAAATTCCGGTGCAAAGTGTCCCATTCAGTTATCCCCAGTTTTATCCTTGAATCAGCTCATTATACACATGATTTAAGTGAAGTTTATTCATTTAAATAAAATATTCCATGAACTGTAGCGTATACCTATGCTGATTACAAAAAGGTATTACCAGAAATTAATTAGAGCCATAACTTGTAAATAAACAATTTTATTGTTCATCTTCACATATGTGAAAGACATTACTACAGCGTCCATTACTTTCAAATTACAAAGTTATTTAAACAAGATTTAAAAAATTAAATTAAATATTTTGATAAGGTGCTTAACCCCTTAACAAGGACAAACTAACATTAAAAAACCTTAATGAATTAAAGTTATTCATCTAAGCAGGTCTTGCTCAAAAGGAAATATAACATTACATAACCCTAATACACTTAAATAAAACTACTGAATCTACACGTAACAGTCTGAGGTTTTTGGGCTTAAGACAGTTGTAAATTTAAAAAAGAGTTATAAATATAATTTCATCAGCACAGTATGTTTTTGGCTGTTGGCCTGAATATTACTGTGTGCTGTATTACATTATTTAAAAACACACTACAAGACATTTTACCCAATCAGTATTACAGTGGTAGCAGACAGTATCTCTGTCAGCTTTGCCATTTTAGGAGTTTATAACTCGGCCATTTTAATTTACATTTGGGCTGGAATTTAGCAAAAAAATTTGAGCTCAGACACTCCCACCCCCACTTAATCAGTTTATGTTTGACTGGTTTTTTATTTTTCTTTTCAGTTAGAAGAAAGGGGAAAAGTAGTACATTTGTTGGGTTTTGGATGCTTTGCTTTTTAAGAACTCATAACTAAAACAAGTATTTTCAAAACCGTTTTGCAGACCATTAGTCAGTGAATGGTGACAGTCCCTTCTGGATATTTTGTTATTTCTAATCAACAAAGTAAAAATAGAAACAGCCGAGTTATTTTAGATTGAGAAGTTACTATTCAGAAGCTTCTGTTAATATGCACTGTAATCTATACTGTTGCATATGGTCTTAATAAATGGCAAAATCCCATTCATTTCAATGGGACTCTGCACAGTAAGATTTACAGTGTAATGATTCTTCCAGAAATGTCATGCTGTCAGACATTTCAGTTTTTTGCACACAAAGTATTATACAAAAATACTAAGAAATTATAGCATCTTTAATATGCAAAAATTTGAGAAGTGGAATATCATGTAAATATATCATAAACCATTATGCAAAATATCAGTCAATGCATTGACACCTTAGTAGCTCAGAATTAACCATTACAGTGGCAGCATTAAAAGTAGAACCATAACTTTTCATTGACAGCACTCTGGATTTGAGACGCTCAGATCCAGTACAGTGTCAATGGAAAAACTATAGCAATGCCACCATATATCAGGACTAAAGAACCAGTTACAAGAAACACAGTATCAAAGTTTGGGGTAGGGATTATTTTAAGAGTGTGGTGGGGCTTGTGAAGAAAGGAAGTGCTCTTTTTAGATGGTTTGTTTAAAACAAACCATTAAAAAAATGAAAATTAATACAAAATAGCCATATTCATAGATTAAGGATCTTATTTAAGCCAACAAAAGCAAAAATATCAAGAGTTAAGGCTGCCACTTCATCCTTAGCTTGCTTTACTGTGCTTAGGTAGTCAGCCCTTTTAGCATGCAAGATCATGCATAATTCTGAGACTCAAGCAACACCTGAACACAATGGAATGAGCCAGAGATAGGGAGGCAACCTTCAATTCTTCAAATAAGTGGTTTTAAATCAGACCCCTAACATTAAAGTTTCTTTTTTGTACGTATTAAAATATACATCTTAGCAAAATGTATGGCTCATTGAACAGTTCATAAAATACACACAGTCTACAACACCAATTCTTACAATAGAAAAGAAACTTCTTACAAAAGAAGTTTTACTAGATGCCAAAAACCCTGTTTCAAACCACAAATCAAATTTGTGTAAGGGTCTTTTTCTTAGCCAGTTGTGGGCATGGTTCCAGCTATAAAACCTTGGGACCGCTGTTTCCTAGCCTTTGACTCCTTGGAGACAGTAACTCATTTATGAAAATTAAAGTTAACACTGTCATTTGTGTCAATTTACTTGTATGTTTCTGGCTATGCAGAGATGTAAACATAAGATCAAATATTTCGTTCCCTGTCACTGTTTCTGAAGGGGCAATTTTGTTATGGATACTATATCTCCATGGCACACTCCAGTGGGAACCTTGCAAAAGAACAAACTCTACCATTTCATACCTGCTCCAGGACTGGAGCTGTTTCTTTGTTGCCTTCCTTTTTTTCAGCACCATCCACAACAACAGCTTTGGATGCCAACAAACCTTAAGAGAAAAGTTGCACAGAGATATTTAGAATGGGTTGATTTTTTTATTTTATCATTTGCAATCATCAGGTTTTATGAAAAACATAAATGTGAACAAAAATTAAAACATTTTCATCTATAAAAAGATTCTCTCTGAAACCCCCTTGTATGGAGTCTTTATTTAAAAGAACAAAACTTATGAGATCCTGCCTACAATTCACAGGCCCTGTATTATAAATGAGGATTAGCACCGGCCATTCCAGTAACACTCCCAGAGAGGAAAAAGGAGCTCCAATGCTATGACCCTCAACCGCAAAGCAATTGTGCTTCAAAAGCCAGGCCTACAATCGAAGTAAATTTTCAACCTTTTGATTTTAGGAGGTTATTTAGAATTCCTCCCTTCACTCATTCCCCCCACAGTTGGTCTGTGTGTGCTTTCCTAATGGCTATAAGTAGGGCTCTACCAAATCCATGGCCATGAAAAACATGTCATGGACTCTGAAATCTGGTCTTTTGTGTGCTTTTACCCTGTACTAAACTTTTACCCTATACAGATTTCATGGGGGGAACCAGAGTTTCTCAAATTGGGGGTCCTGACCCAAAATGGACTTGCAGGGGGGTTGCAAGGTTCTTCCAGGGAAGTCACGGACAGTGGCGGATTAGCTACTGGGTCAATGGGGCCCCGGCCAATTGGGGCACCCCCATGCCCCACTCTGCCCACCCAGCACTCCTGCTAGGGAGCAGGGCTGGGGCACGGGGGCTTGTCCTGCTCTGCCCGACCGCCCGGAGCTCCTACCGGGGAGCAGGGGAAGCCCCTGCGCCCTGACCCCGCTCCCCAGCAGAAGCACAGGGGGAGGGAGACGGGGGCGACTGCAGTTGGAAGGGGCGGGGAAGGGCTCCCACTTGTTCTGGCCCAGGGCCTCAGAAAAGCGTAATCCGCCACTGGTCACGGTATTGTCACCCTTACTTCTGCACTGCCTTCAGAGCTGGGCAACCGGAGAGTGGTAGTTGTTGGCCAGGTGCCCAGCTCTGAAGGCAGTGCCCCACCACCAGCAGCACAGAAGGAAGGGTGGCCATACCATACCATGCCACCCTTCCTTCTGCGCTGCTGCTGGCGGCGGGTCTGCCTCCAGAGCTGGGCTCCCAGCCAGCAGCCACCGCTCTCCAGCTGCCCAGCTCTGAAGGCAGCGCCACTGCCAGCAGCAGGCTAGAAGTAAGGGCAGCAGTACCACAACCCCCACCAAACAATAACCTTGTGGACCCCCTCTCCCCCACACCTCCTTTTTGGGTCAGGATCCCTACAATTACTACACCATGAAATGCCAGATTTAAATAGCTGAAATCATGAAATTTATTATTTTTAAAATCCTAGGACCATGAAATTGACCAAAATGGCCTGTGAGTTTGGTAGGGCCCTGGTTATAAGTTACAGTTGCAGAGTTCCCATCAAAGTTTGCCTGTTATGTAGTCTCATCTTTTTTAACAGGCCCACGCAAATCCTTTCTGGACTAAACAAAACGCTGAAGCATCTAACTGTTAGATTCTAACACAAGGAAAAATCTTACAAAGGCAAGTGGATAGACTAGATCAGAGGTTCTCAAACTGTGGTCCCCAGACCACCAGTGGTCTACGAGCTCCATTCAGGTGGTCCATGTATAGTTCCCTCTAAGATGCACGCCTGGGCGGCCGTACACGAGAAAACAAAGAGCCACCCACCTAATTAGTGGAGCTGTGCAGGCGTGGCTCCACTAATTAGATGCCTGGACCCTGGAGAAGACGCACATGTAAGGTGAGGTGGTGGGCTTTGGGGGAATAGGGAGTAGGTGGAAGGGGGAAATGGGATGAGAAGAAGGGGTGGGGGGGAATTTGGGACGTGCAGGGCTGTGGTGGCCAGAGAAATAGGCGACTTTCCCCAGCTCCAAGGCTGCGGCTGCTGGGGAGAGACGGCCCTCCTTCCCATCCCCAGTTTAGGGACTGCTGTGGTGGGGGAGAGAGAGCACATCCATCGTATCATAAAGGTAAGACTACGGATATTAAAATAGGAGCTGTGTGTGCTTTTATATGTAGAATAAAAAAACAATTATTATTAATTTTTTTTAAATATAGCTCTTTTATCCAAAGCGCTTTATAATAGTTAGCTAAAGGTACAAACAACATATGGAAAGATTGAGTGGTCCGCCAAGACCCTCAGCAATTTTCAAGTGGTCCGTGAAAAAAAAGTTTGAAAACCACTGGACTAGATTACCTAATCAGAATTTTCATTCTCTATGATTTAAGAACATAAGAATGGCCACACTGGGTCAGACCAAAGGTCCATCCAGCCCAGTATCCTGTCTGCCAACAGTGGCCAATGCCAGGTGCCCCACAGGGAGTGAACCTAACAGGTAACGATCAAGTGATCTCTCTCCTGCCATCCATCTCCACCCTTTGACGAACAGAGGCTAGGGACACCATTCCTTACCCATCCTGGCTAATAGCCATTAATGGACTTAACCTCCATGAATTTATCCTGTTCTCTTTTAAACTCTGTTATAGTCCTAGCGTTCTTACTTAACCTCCTCGGGCAACAAATTGCACATGTAGACTATGCGCTGTGTGAAGAAGAGCTTCCCTTTATTTGTTTTAAACCTGCTGACCATTAATTTCATTTGGTGGCCCCCAGTTCTTATATTATGGGAACAAATAAATAACTTTTTTCTTATTCACTTTCTCTACACCACTCATGATTTTATATACCTCTATCATATCCCCCCCCTTAGTCTCCTCTTTTCCAAGCTGAAAAGTCCTAGCCTCTAATCTCTCCTCATATGGGACTCGTTCCAAACCCCTAATCATTTTAGTTGCCTTTTCTGAACCTTTTCTAATGCCAGTATACCTTTTTTGAGATGAGGAGACCACATCTGTACGCAGTATTCAAGATGTGGGCGTACCATGGATTTATATAAGGGCAATAAGATATTCTCCGTCTTATTCTCTATCCCTTTTTAAATGATTCCTAACACCCTGTTTGCTTTTCTGACTGCCGCTGCACGCTGCGTGGACATCTTCAGAGAACTATCCATGATGACTCCAAGATCTCTTTCCTGATTAGTTGTAGTTAAATTAGCCCCCATCATATTGTATGTATAGTTGGGGTTATTTTTTCCAATGGCCATTACATTATCCACATTAAATTTCATTTGCCATTTTGTTGCCCAATCACTTAGTTTTGTGAGATGTTTTTGAAGTTCTTCACAGTCTGTTTTGGTCTTAACTATCTTGAGCAGTTTAGTATCGTCTGCAACCTTTGCCACCTCGCTCTTTACCCCTTTCTCCAGACCATTTATGAATAAGTTGAATAGGATTGGTCCTAGGACTGACCCTTGGGGAACACCATTAGTTCCCCTCTCCATTCTGAAAATTTACCATTTATTCCTACCCTTTGTTCCCTGTCTTTTAACCAGTTCTCAATCCATGAAAGGATCTTCCCTCTTATCCCATGACAACTTAATTGACGTAAGAGCCTTTGGTGTGGGACCTTGTCAAAGGCTTTCTGGAAATCTAAGTACACTATGTCCACTGGATCCCCCTTGTCCACATGTTTGTTGACCCCTTCGAAGAACTCCAATAGATTAGTAAGACATGATTTCCCTTTACAGAAACCATGTTGACTTTTGCCCAACAATTTATGTTCTTCTATGTTTAAGTAATAGGGACTCCAGGTGACCCTGATAATAGATCCACTGGGAAACTAGTATTTTTAAACAGTGCTAGTTCTTCATTCACAAATCCATATACAACACTACTAATATACATTTAACAACCAGATAATAGAAACAGCCAACAGTTTTAAACCTGATGTTCAGATTTTTTTTTTTTCCATTTTATGCACAGAGCTTGTTGTTGCCCAGCCAATAAGTAGGTGTTTCAGAGCTGCTTTGTCCGGGAACTTTTATTTTATTACTTAATATCTCTAGTAAATAATGTTGGTGAGGAGACCCAGCTCGCTTGAAGATGCCTAAAGAAAAACTAAAGCAGAGGCAGCAAGATATCTTTGACTTCAAAGTCTTCTGCAATCAGTGGCCCCAAGAAGAAGCTACTTCTTAACAGAGGTTGTTATCCATACTGAACAGTCTGCTACAAGATATAGGTACTGCATTCCCTGGTAAATTAGATACCCTCACAACCAATTCAGAACACACTAAACTGGAGGCATATCACTTAGTGAACTCTGGGCTCTCCTAAAGTAACACATTTAGAACACTGGAATACTGCAAATCCGTCAGTAACCTAGGTGACTTTTCATTAAGGAGTTGTTATTAAGCTTCTGTGCCCCACAAGGATCCACTACAGGAAATTGTATTCTATTCCTTACCACGTGTGTTATATCAGTTTGCTGCATTTTTTTTTCAAATTAAGCAGAACATTGTCTCCAATCCAAGATGTGCAAAGACATTACTTAAAAAAAACATATTAATCAATCATGAATTTACTGCAAAGCAGAACCCCACTAATTTGCAGTACTGAGTGGAAGTCATTAGGAGTTTATGCAATTCATAAATTAACAAACAAGATCTCAATTCTGCATCTTGTTCAAGACAGGAGAACCCCTGCACTTATGTGGGCCCCAAATACAGACCTTATGTCAAAATCTTGGAACAGGGTTGGCTTTATTACTCTTTGTGTAGTGCTTTGAGATCATCAAAAACAATAACTGCAAAGTATTAATATAACTAACAAACATGTACTGATCTACCGTAGCACTTTATGTACAAGCGTAAACATTTGGATATGTTAAAAAGTAATGATGTTCTCAATAAAAAGGTAATTTACCAGTGATTTTGTTAAGACGAGCTCTCTTTGCCTGAAATGAGTTGCCTAGATTACTTTTCCTCTTGTTCGATAATGTATTCTCTGCCCGCACAAATGCCATCTTTGGAACGTCTACTACTGGGAATCCTACTTTTAAAAGAACAGACATGGAAGAGTTCATCTACAAATTCACATTTCATAAACATTTCTTACCAACTGTAAATATTTCAATGCAAAATATATTCTAAGATGAATGAATAGGCTTTTATGTGCCATAACAGGCAGTTTAAAGATTTATAATTAACAATATACAGAAAAATATTACCTTGAAATTTTAAGTAATAAGTTAACAGATATTAACTTTGTTGACGTGATCAAGATTTACTGATTCAGAGGTAAAGTCTAGATGGCCCTTAAAACATGAAGGCATATGTATTACATTGTCTTCAAAAATATCTAGAAATCTCCATTATAACCATGAATCATTAGAATTTTAGTTTTTAAAAAAAACTCATAAGGGAAAATGAAATAAGAGATCTAGAAAAACAAACTTCTGATCTCTTCTGAGCCACTTAGGAAGCAGAAATTTGCACATAAATCTAAATGATTAACACTGTTGCAGATCTCAGTATTGAAGTGTACTAGGATACAAACACCAACTTCCTCTAGTCTAGAACCATTGGCAGTACCATTTTGCAACATGAACAAAAGAGATTCTGAGGCCAATAGTAACTGGACAGGCAGAAAAAACAATATTTGCAGCCTTTAGAAAAATAAGCACTAGAATATAGTTTGTACCGAACGTTTCACTCGATGTAGGCTCCTCTTCTTTTTTCTGGACTTCCTGTATGATCGTAGAGGTTGAGGTTTCTTCCTTCTTTGAAGGTACTTTAAACCATTTTCTCTCCTCTTTATCTTTATTGCTGTTTGCACTGGTCCGCGGTTTACTTCCTGCTTTGTTCTTGGCTGCTGCTGCTGCTGCAGCTTTGACCAAAGCTATCCAATCCTCCAAAAAGAAAACAAAGGTGGAGGAGCATTAGTAGCTGTTTGCGACATTCAAACAGAATCCATTTACAAATAGTGACCAACCTCATCCAGAATTGACAAGTACATTTATGTTTAGTTTTATGACTACTGCCCGTGATTCAGTAAAATGTACTTTCCAAATTGTCTACATAGTCTAACTAGAATCTACCTCGTGGATTTAAAAAAAATAACAAAAACACTGCATATGGAAATTAATCTCTATGATTAGCCTTTCAAGCACTATTGTGCCCTAATAACTAATCTGTAAACTATAAGAGTTACAGCAATACAGGAACTGTCATACTGGAACAGACCATTAACTCCATTATCCTGTCTCTAGTTGTAGCCTACACTAATCTAGCTATTTCAAATGGAAGACCAATCCCTCTGTGCCCCACACATGTCTATCAAACTACACAATCCATGGGCAGGAGAATTCTTTCTAACCTAAGCCGAGGATCAGGTAATGACCTGAAGCAATGGTAACTCTGGGACAGCAATTTCTAGAGTAACTGCAAATACTGTTCCTACTGTATTCAATTTTCAAGCTTCATCCAATAATCTCAAATGGCTCTATAAACAGCAATTAACTGTCACAATCCACCTGCAAGGTAGGAAGAGATTACTATCATTTTAGAGATGGGTAGGTAAACTGGCACACAGGGAATTCAAGTGACTTGCCCTTGGCCACACAGTGAATCTAGGTGTCTTGACCCAGATCCCCTCTTCTAACGACTTGACAACTCTACCACAGTAAGCCAATTGTCTTAACATCTTGCAGCAGTGTTTTCCATGGAAACATTTTGTTACAATTTGAATGATTGAAAACAATTGAACATATTTTTAAACTTTTTGAAATAAAAGATTTATTGACCACATGACTGTTTGATCTCATTAATGTTTTATATCTGTATGTACATATGTTATGTTTAAATTGTACTGTGTGTGCATGTGCATGTGCGTGAAATATGGATTATAAATATCCCTAGAGCAAAGACCACATTTTCTTCTCTGTTTGGTGGAGACAGCGCTCAGTAAGTAATCAAGTATTTCCTTTATTCATTTAAAATGTGCTGAATTTAATCTGGATTATTTCCTTGTTAGTGTATTATGGAATACATTAAAAAACAATACCTGATTGGCTTTCACTCTTCCAATCATACTTGACTTATTTCTAAACTAGACAATTGCAATCCTTTTAATCTCTTTACATATGGAAACCTCTCCATCCAATACCTCTACCATTTTTTCCAATTACCATTCAGTGGACCTTTTCTATTTTCTGTGCCCCCTTTAAGGTGTCATGAGGACATATCTTCAGTTAAAATCTTTTTCTGCATTATTCTCTATCCCTTCTTCATACAACCCAACCGTTAATTTATATTTCTACCACTTTTCTGCACTGAATATGCATCTCCACTGTGTAATCAACTACACATTTTGTGACGGTGATAGTTTCAACACACCAATAGTAAGCAAGGTCCCTTTTTCAGGAATTAGACAGTGAGGCAAGAAGATCAGGTAACTTTCCTGTGACGTTGACTGTTTCTTCTCTATAACATTACACCTCTATCCCGATATAATGCTGTCCTCGGGAGCCAAAAAAAATCTTACCGCGTTATAGGTGAAACCATGTCATACCAAACTTGCTTTTGATCCACCGGAGCGTGCAGCCCCGCCCCCTCGGAGCGCTGCTTTACTGTGTTATATCAGGTCGCGTTATATTGGGGTAGAGGTGTATTTGCTTCACATTCTCCCCTTATCCTCCGGTCCCCCAGGATAAGTTAGTTATGCATGTGTCTGAATATCATTAACTTAGAATTCACCTCCACAGATTTAGATACCACCAACTACACATATTGAAAAGACAAAGCCCCTACCCCAAAGAGTTTCCAGTATGAATCTCTTCTGAGCTAACCTACGAAACTAACTGTAAAAGTGTAGACATGTGGATCTTCAACAACGTATACTATACTCATTTGTGCCCGGTCACAAAATTGAAGAAATCTTTCATTTGGTGCAGCTTCATATAGTAGCATTATTATTTATACAGCACCAGAGATATGGATGGTACCTTATAGATGGGAAAGAAAAGACAATTCTAGTAACAAAGAGCTTACAATGCAAGAGACACAACATAGGAAAACAACAGTAAAAAGGAGAAAGGGAGAGAGAATGTCATGAAGATACTTGTAGTTTATGTATGCTGGTAGACCCCCTTCTGTGATTTATATTTAAATGTGTATTTACTTAGTGCAGTTTAGGTAAACAAGTTGATAGATGTGAGCATGTGAGGGAACGTACAGATCCTTGGTGCCCCATAGGTGGCACTGCATGAGTGATGTCCATAAGTGGGGGTCCTGCTGAGTCACACAGTGGCATGGTGATTTGGGTTAAATCCCAACAAGGTTTCTAAGGTCAGGCTTTCAAATTCCCATAGGAAAGTGCCACCCTGAGAGGAGGGTGACTGGGGCTTGGTTTCTACCTTTACTTGTGCACAAGTTATTTTTTAAGCCCAGGCCATACAAGGTTTTGGAGGTGCAGGTAAGGAGGAACCACATAGAGACTGCATGACTAGAAGCCAAGACAGGAAGGTCTGGAGACAAGAACTGTCCTATTTATATTGTTCTGTGTTTAAAGACTGTTATACACAATGAAGGAAACTGGCCAGAGACTTCGCTAGTCTCTTTTTATTTTGGTTGAGTGCCCTATGACAGATCATTTCATGTGTAAGAAACTAAGGGATGTAATCTTCTCTTGATAAGCACAGAAATTCCTGTTCAGAAAGAAACCATCTTCAAATGTAAGCTCAGAGTTTATTTACAACCTTTTATAAAACTTGTATAAGGAAAAATAAAGAGAAGAAGAAGAAAGGTGGACTCTAAATCTGAATGAGTTTGAAGTCTTTCTTGAATTGGGATTGTTACCTGGTCTCTAACGTAACAGCCAGCCACAATACTGAGATGTAGCCAGACTCAGTAACCTGTCATTCAAATAATTTTAATCATATCAGTAACAGCAGCTTTTTTGGCATGCACTGTGTATACAAATCCCAAGATCCAGTTACTACCAAGTTAGAACAGAGCAATCTCAAGTACAGTTCTCCTGAAATAAGTTCATCCCCTTCCTCCCCAGTGCTCTGAGTAGCCATTATGAATCACTTTGTTCTGATTACCCATTGCCTTCAGAATTCCCTATGATCAAACCACAGCAAACATGGCGGCCTCCACTTCTAAGCCACAATGTTCACCCCAAATGACCTTTTTTCCCTTCAGTATTTCCTCCTTGCCACTTAAGGAAGGCTTAGTTCCTTTCTTTCTCCTCCTATCCCCACTACAAACATTTTTTTTAATTAACCTGTCCAGGGCTATATGGGATAACAGAGTAATAGGAAGCAGTCAGGAGATAAAGCAGCAGTTGTGGTTTTGGACAAATGGATGGAATTCTGAGAAAAGTCAAAGCAAAAAGACTTGCATAATAACTTATCATTAAGGAAATCACTGCGCTCTAACTGGTTAAAAATGGCCCTTGCTAGAGTTCAGGGACTGGCATACTGCATGACTGTATAGCAAACCATACAGTCATTACAAAAATCAGATCAACTAAGCCAAACTTCAGGAAACTGCATAATAAAGAAATAAGTTAGTAGGAACCATCCAGCATACCTATATATTGATTGGCTAGAACAACTGCATTTTAATAATCATATAACTGCAACAGTGGGAAGGCAAAAAGCAGTAGCATTTCTAAAATCCATCCCTTCTGCCAACACCTGGATTTATGACCTGCCACCTCTCTCTTCAGCTATCACAACTACCACCTCTTTACTTCTCTGTCTTCCTCTTCTGGCACTCCTACCACATTACCCCTCCCACCACGCACATCCACACCCACACCCACACACCCCTTTCTAGTTCACTGGCTGTTTCTAAATCAAGACTGGATTCCTTGCTCTCACATTCAACACCTGATACAGCTCTGCCCTACCTACATCTATGATCTCAGCTCTTGTTTTCTCCTATCATCTCTTCTTTGTCTCTGTCCCAATTGTGCCTTTTTTCCTCAGCTTCCTCTTCCTATGTACCAAGTTCCCTCCCTCTCCTTCAAATCCCTCCTCAAAACTCACTTCTTTTGGTTCGATTTCCGTCACTAATCTCAGCTCCGGCGCTATCTGCTCCCTCTCGCGCGCCTAATTATATTGAAGATAAAACAAAAAAACATGAAACAGAACAAATAAGTTATCTGAATTATTTGTAAGTGCTCCCCAAGGGCAGTTTTCATTCTCCCCCTTTTCCATTTCTTCTCTTCCCCATCTCTGTTGCATTTCTGTCTAAATTTTAAAACGTAGCTAATCCAAGCAGGAACCTGGTCTGTACTCTCCATATAAATAAGAATACAAAAATGTTTGTATAGTTTTTGTTTTTGCCTTTCCACCCTCACAGCTGAAACTTTTGAATACACACAAATACTGTAGTATTAAAAAAAATTTACTTAGAATGTTACAAGTTCTACAGTATCACTCACTTTAAAGAGACAATGTGAACTTAAAATCACATTTCCATCTGAAAATATTACACCTATTTTTGTTACAAATAACTCCAAAGATTACTGGAGTAGAAAAATCAAAGAATAGTCTCTTCTTCAGTGTGCTCAATTTGTGCATTTGACAGTACTTTGGGTATAACCACTTTTACTGTTCTAATGGTCACTTGCATCACTCATGCACTGCTCTTAGGTACACACAAGAGACGACACAAGTAACAAGGGGAGCAGAAAAAATCCTTATACAAAAATGTTAATGAAAGTTATATTTTATATGGACTCACTATTTTAAAGGTGATAGAAAATGAATTTGTAGGCAACTTTTAGTGAATTAAAAATATCAAAACATTGCCTCTGTAATTCTCACGTCAGCTTGCACACTAATGGACAAAATTATTTTTGCGGACATTCAACATTTTCAGAAAAAAACGTTGCATGTTAATACCTTACTATTATTTTAAAAGTAATACAATTTTAAACCTAAATGCCAACTCTCTCAGGGTGCGGTTTCTATACAAGCATTTGGGGGGAAAGGGGAGGGCAGGAGGGGGAGAAATCCCAACAGGAAAAAGGTTCTGGGTCTGAATTTAACAAATAGTATCACAGGTTCATCTGATGCATGACTTTCATACCAAATTATGTTGGGGGGGGGGGTGTCTTCTTTGAGAAATCATACAAAAACCTATGCCTGTCCAATAATTCCTGGTAAGTGCCTTCTTTTAGAATAAAAGAACAGTTTTAGTTTGAAACAAAGCTTAGTCTTAGATAACTTTGACCTTCAAACCAATCTTAGGTTGTATTTTTATTTTTACAACACAAATACTTCTGAAATAAAGATGGATATTTTTTGCCATAGCAGAATAGATTTACCTAGCCTCCTGTCCAGCAGTTATACTACTACTTAAAAAATGAAACCCAAAGCCTGCTTTGAGACCAAGAGATTTGTACTCCTGCCTCTGATTTTGGGGATTTAGAAATGTCAAAGTTAATCTCATCTTTCATTTTAAATGTGAACATTTTCTAGCCCGTGTAGAAATCAAAATTAATTGCCAAAAATACAAGTTTGTCCCAGTGATTATTCCTCAAGATCTCCACTACAGTCACTCAGGTTTGGCATCAGACACATGAAATCCAACACCACAAGTGTCTCAATATTTGAAGAAAAGCAGAATAATTTTTTGTGTTTATAAGAGTGCCATTTGGGCTGCCATCTATGGCACTAACACTCCTATAGACTTCCTCCCAGTTATTGACTTGTTGTTTCAACTGAGTTTTTGTTTCTCTGCTGAGAAGCCAAAGTGGCCTTTAGCTACAGAGTAGTATCTCAATAGTGCAACAGACAACACGATTTAGTGGAACAAGCAAAGGTTTGAGAGCAAGGAACTTCTGAACTCTAATCCAAGCTCATTGTTCTTCTTTATTCAAGTTGCAACTTCCTGCCTAAGTTTCCCTATTTGTAAAATCAAATGAAATAATATTTAACGTCTTACCTCATTGGGTTATACACATTAATGTTTGTACAGAAACTCAACAGAATGCACATAACCATCCAGCAAGAGGCTGACGGTAATGTGAGTAGGGATTTCTGTGCTTAACTATTTAAAAAAAAAAAAAGGATTAAAGTCTGAAGGTGCCCCAAATAATCCATTGCCTGTCCGTCTCCAAAGTCCTAACATTCTTTGTGTGATTGTCATATCATGATTTAAAGCTATCAGTTACACAGAAGCATACACAAATTATTGTTTAAAAGGCCCTCCCATTTCTCCATTTGCAAATAGTCATATAAAAACCAAACCCAGTAATTTATTCATTTTTATAAGTCATTTTCCAGAGCAGATTAGACATTTGAATTCTGCTCTTCCAAGTAAAAACAATTTCTTGAAAAACTGGGGACTATAACTATTTGCATTTTATCAAATTTACTTGCTCCTTTTAGCAAGTTTCGACAATCATTTCATTTTTTTAAAAAATAGCTAAAATTTCTCATTACCAGCACAATTATTTTAAAAAGATTAGGAGGACTTGTGGCACTTTAGAGACTAACAAATTTATTTGAGCATAAGCTTTCGTGAGCTACAGCTCACTTCAAATCAGGCTTCATACAAACTTGAAGACTGGATAAAACTTGGATAAAATTCCTAAGTATTTAAGTTAAAATCCTGCTATTTATCTTAGATTGTATCTCTGTATCTCATAACCTGCCTCCCTTCCTGGTTGGGTGCTACTCTCTTCTGTGACGGCATTGAGACTGTCACAGATAGAGGAATATCTGCCCATTTTGGCACAGGGAGATAAAAAAATGAACTAACTCTGAATTAATAGAAGAAAGTGGTAGAAATCTGACATGTAACAAATCCACCAGCAGCGGCCCACTGATGGGCTAAGGCCTCTTCTAAAAGGTCATAAAGGAGGAGAGAACCTGTTAGCCCCTATGTAGTCCTGGGTTGGGACCACTGGAAAGAGAATGGTCAGGGAACAGATGAGCCAGTGAGGAGAGCATACTGCACTCAGAGGTTTCATAATTGAGAGGAGATCACTAGCACAGCACATGCTAGGGCATCCCCTGAAGTTAAGAACTGGTGAACCAACAGACTGAGGGACCTAAAGAGAAGGCAGCAGTAAGTTTAAAATCATTTGTGTTACATGACCCTTCCTGCATGGGGCATTCAGCAGATAATTTGTTCTCAGGTCACTGTTAATACCACATGCCCTGTTTAGTAGTCAACACAAACAAGCAAGAAAAGACACCTAATATCCTCACCTGCCCTTTGGCATCCTCAGGCATAGATTTGATATGCATCCTTTTTAGACATCGAATAACTCCATCATAGAACTGTACTGTGAAGGTTCCTAAAACAGGATTGATGCAATCACTATGAGTAGTTAGAAACATACGTACCTCACTACTTCCCCAAAATGCTACAAATACACAGTCATTTCAGACCCGGTCCTGTATGTGACATCAGTGAGTGCTTTGGCTCTGCAAATACTATAGGACTGAGCATCTATTTAAAATTCTTCCCTTTATAGTTACAGTCACATATCCTCCTTGGATACATCAAGATTAAAAGGGACACAATCAAGACAGAAGTGCTTAAAAAACCCTCTTTACTCACAATGAAAAACTCAGTGTTGAGTTCGTTACTGAGATAAGTGTTTGTGGTTTCAGGACCTTGGACAGTTGTACTACAACTGTAAAACCTATTTTATATGATTACATTTCTCACAGCTTGGACAATAAGTAATGCTTCATTTTTGTTTATAAATTTCCAATTTATTAATCCAATGATGCCATGTATTATCAGTACATTTAAACCCACACCCAAAAACAATTTTCATTCATTTTTAAATACAATAAAAGCATTGCAATAGATATAAAATCAAAACAATGCAAACGTCAAACTACTTTAAATTTTATGCCTAAGTTAGCTGGCATTTTCCTTTTAATATTGCATTTATCTTATTTCACTGATTACCAAAGCTCAAAAATGAGATTTTGAATGTTTTCTAGAAGAATTGAGGTACTGTAAGCATATAAGTATAAACCCAAACCAACCGTACTGTGAAGGGTTCTATAATAGTGAGGCAAGGATGTTCATCTCACTACTATAAATGAAAGTTACATTACTACTGAGTGGAGGAGGTACCCCAAGTTTTTAACTTCATAGAAATAAAAGATGATAAATGCTCACTAGATCAAACCCATTCCTCCCCTCATAGAATAGCAATGCTTCCAACAGTATGTTTAACATAGTGAATAAAACCGTATGTAAACACATTTTGATTTTAAACAGATAATAGCAGTGTTCCTGGTAAACAAAGAGAAGTACTTACAGATGCATTGTATTTATATACATACCCTCCTTGTTAATTGCTTCAATCTTAGCAGGGTAATATCGACAGTCTGTCCAACGAGCTAGCACCTCTTCTCCAGGTTTAAAATCCTATTTTAAACAATTTTAACTGTTAATATCTTGCCCTGCAAACCTTTCCTAAACAAACTTAAGCTTTATAACTTAGCGATATTTTCCTTGAAAAAAAATTAATACCATTAGGTTTGAAAGAATTCAATTTTTACTTTTTATAACTTTGACAGATAATATTGATCTTTATTTTTAAATATTTTTAAAATGTTTATTGATCAAAACTTTGACATTTCTTGGAAGTGGGGGGTGTCAGAATTATTTAAAGACAGTAGCTGCTGACATTCATAAAGTTAAAGCTTTATAACTGTTAAAACACAAATTACCTACATCACATGTCAAAATATACAAATTAAAATTTCCAAAGTAAATATCCTTAAGTTCTCAAGCAGCATTTTTCTTTTTTTTTAAACTTTGCCTATGTGTAAATTTTGATCTTAGGGCTGTCAAGCGATTAACAATAATAGAATACCATTTATCCAAAAATATTTAAATGTTTTCTACATTTTCAAATATATTGGATTTCAATTACAACACAGAATACAAATATGAATCTTTACCGCACCTGGCACGTAAATACTTTGCAATGCCAGCTACAAAAGTGCCATGCAAATGCCTGTTCTCACTTTCTAGTGACATTGTAAATAAGAAGAGGGCAGCATTATCTCCTGTATATGTAAACAAACTTGTTTGTCTTAGCAATTGGCTGAAGGAGACATAGGACTGAATGGACCTGTAGGCGATAAAGTTTTACATTGTTTTGTTTTTGAGTGCAGTTATGTAACCAAGAAAAATTCTTTTTAAAAAAATCTATATATGTAAGTTGCATTTTCATGACAATGGACTGCACTACAGTACTTGTTTGAGGTGAATTGAAAAATACTTTATTTTTACAGTGCAAATATTTGTAATCAAAAATAATATACACTTTGATTTCAGTTACAACACAGAATATAATATGTGAATATGTAGAAAAACATCCAAAATATTTAATAAATTTCAGTTGGTGTTCTATTGTTTAACAGTGCGATTAAAACTGCGATTAATCAAGATTAATTTTTTTGAGTTAATCACGAGAGATAACTGTGATTAATCGACAGCCCTAATTATCACTGATGGAAATATTTTTTCGTCTGTTTGTGTTTTTATGGCGAAATTGATGTTTACAGGCATTAACTGATAAAAATCTAACCCTTCCAAGCCTAAATAAAATAATTTACACAAGGAGTTAGAAAAAAATTATCTTCCTACTTACAACAAATTCATCATCATCTTTTAGCCCTTCTTTCCTTAGTGCTGGTCGTTCCAGGGGTCGTAATCTATTGCTGTCCCAATAAATCCACTCATCATAGCGATGACTCCAACGTTCAAAATGGACCAACATCTTCCCCTCTTCATAGTCTATCTTCTCAATGCGAGATGGATACCTTGAACAACAACAAAAGGAAAGGTGTCAATTGTGCAACTTTTTCCAGCAATGTTTTTCATAAAGACGTATTCATGTAACAGTTTAAACTACTTTGGTGGTGTTAGCTGCACCAACATTTTGTACTAAGAATTAGTTTGGATCTGAAAGAAGTTTTAAACATGTAAAATTGTTGATATGACAATACCTAGCTGCAAAACCTCTACATTCATTAAAAGTGGGTGTGAAAATTCAGATTTAAGGATCAAACTGCTAGGTAATGTTAAGATGGATGCCTTATTTGGGTTAAATATTGGAAGTTTCATGCTTAGCTTTGTATTCATAATTTTGTTGATTAAAGCAAGGAAAGAAGGGTTTGTTTCTTTTGCTTGAGAGATAGAGGGGTGGTGAATTGGCTTTAAAAAAATTAATTCATTACTCTTAATCTGCATAATAAATGTTCCACATACTTGCTTCATTGATTTCAGACAAATCCAAGCTGCTGACTAATCAAAAACAATTGGAGTTGATAGAACATCCCTTTTGAATCAAAGCGGCTGGCTAATTTGCAGCTCAGCGCCACGGACTTTGTCGCTACTGAATCTAATGAACGGTCATTTTTCAATATTAATATTTTTTAAATTGCACATTTATTAAAACAAAAACACCAGTATTAAATAAGGACTGTAGGTTCTAGTTGCCCCTCAAACTTTACATATAATCAGTAGAACCAACTACATGTGACTCTCAATCAGAACAACTCTTCATCATCTGAAGTTAGAATTTAACATGGATTTTAATTACTCCCTACTTTGGGATCTGTATAACCAAAATGATTAAGTTTGGCGAAAAGACTTCCCATTTTTTCAAATCTTTAGCTTCTGTGGAAATAAATAATGATCAGGCTGGTGCATTTAGATTCCACAGGAATCCAAGCCACATTATTTAGCTTTGAATTTCTAAGGGCTATTTTGGCTTTAGGAAGCCACTAGTTGGGCAGAAATAAGGCAATACCTAGTCTTCTCACAGAATGTCTACCATCAATATAACCGGATTACATTATTTCAGTTCCATAAAGTCCATACAAGGTTGGTGTGCTGAAATTCAGCTGATTTATTTTTTTACGAAAAAAAAGAGAGAGAGAATACATAAATAGATCTGAAAACATAAAGAACCTTCTAAAACTATCCGGTGGATTTTTTTAAGTTTAAGAAATTTCCTCCCAAGTTAATATTTTGGGAATCAAGGTTTAACCTAGAAACAATTTCTTGGGAAGTTCTACACTTCCAAAAAACAGGAGTGACAATGGAACAGAAGAGGACAGAGCTACTGAAACATTTATTAAAAAGAAATGTTACAGTGAAAGGAAGGCTGTCTATTTCCAAAACAGGAGACTCAATCTACGTTCTGCAACAATGACAATGTTCCCTCAACATTAAAGGGTGGCAGCTGCTGCAGTCATTTTCTATTCCTACTGCATATTCCCTTACCCTGAAGCTCTGTGCCACCGGATATTGAAAGAGATATTATCAACTTTTTTATTTTCAAATTTCTGACAAAGCAACCTTTAAACAGTAAATCCTAATTTAAAAAAACAAACAAAAGCTTTCTATGAAGTTTAGGGATTTTCTTCTTCCCTGCTGCTTATCAAATTATTTTTCAGCAAATGTCAGCAGACAGACAGCGCAATACATGCCTGGGCCTGTCTCAATTCCCTCCTCTCTCTGTGCTCATTCCCGTCTACCTTTTCTTTAACATCAGCAACAAAGGTCTCCCAATATCTAAACTCCAGACCTGCAGAAGGATTCCAGGGTGTGAAGAACTCCCATCTCACTTGCAATTACCCGATTCTATTTTCCAGATTCCAATTGTTCCCTGGTCCCAGGAAGGTCTCTAGGAAAGGAAGAAACTCTTCCCAGATATCAAATTTATATCACTTCCTGATCTCATGTGGGAAGGAAACATAGCTTTCCATTTCCAAAGCAGACAGTGTGTGTCCTCATCTAGACATTGTTCCTATACAATGCCCCTTCCCTATTTTGTATTGTTCTGTGGCTGGTAGATTTAGTTCTCTGGCTACTAGCTGTCTTGTAAAATTTCCAAGCCCTACTGGGGGTGCATATATTGGTTGAGCAGAACAGAGGGAGGGATAAACTGGTGAAATACAGAAGTGACCATGCTTTTGGGAGAAGTGGAAAACAATAGGAAAGGCACAAATTGTAAATGAGGCAGTAGAGAACATAGTATATGGAAAAAAGAAGGCGAGAGGAAGATGACACTAAAGACAACTTAGTAAAAGGTGCACCAGTATCTAATACAGAACAAAAAAAAATGAAAGACTGAAGCCAGAGATATAACAAAAAATAAGATGCTGTAAGTAGGATTGGTCGAGTATTATTCAGAAAATCTATTACTTGAACAAAACCAGTGATGTTTGTTGAATATCATCATCAACAAATATATTTTTCCGCCGGTTGATCAGCTTTAGCTGTAAGATACATTTTAACAAATTATTAGCTAGAAAAGTGACTGACAGTATTCTTATTGTTAATATCTTATACTGAAATAAATGTTACATTTAAACATAATGCTGTGAATTTATAAGGGATACCATTCCTCTGGGGTGAGAGGAGTGTAGCTAGCTAGTTGGCTGGCTGCATTCCTCTGGGGTCAGAGGCGTGCAGCTGGCTGATTAGCCCTGCCCACACCTGAGAAGAGAGCTGGAACTTAGTTACAGTATAAAAGAGGACAGCAGGAAATGCGGGGGCAGGGGAGCATCCTGGGCCACCTTGTTCTCTATAGGCTTATTGAAACAAATTTCAGTTAGAGTCATCCCTTAATGGAGCATGCCCCCAGGAGGTAGCTCAACAGCTCCAGGCCTTAGCTACCCAATGGCTATACCAAGATGGTGGTGGAGCTCATGGACAATATTGTCTTGGAACAATACCTGCACATTCTCCCTGTGGCAATTCAAACACATCTGCTGTGGAGGAAGTGGAGACAACCGAAAGGTTCTCGGAGGCAGAATTGCCTAGGAGTTAGAAGGGAAGTCTAACTGTAGGCCATCCACACTTAGCCCTGGTCTACACTAGGACTTTAGGTCGAATTTAGCAGCGTTAAATCGATGTAAACCTGCACCGGTCCACACAATGAAGCCCTTTATTTCGACTTAAAGGGCTCTTAAAATCGATTTCCTTACTCCACCCCTGACAAGTGGATTAGCGCTTAAATCGACGTTGCCGGCTCGAATTTGGGGTACTGTGGACACAATTCGATGGTATTGGCCTCCGGGAGCTATCCCAGAGTGCTCCATTATGACCGCTCTGGACAGCACTCTCAACTCAGATGCACTGGCCAGGTAGACAAGAAAAGAACCGCGAACTTTTGAATCTCATTTCCTGTTTGGCCAGCGTGCTGAGCTGCAGGTGACCATGCAGAGCTCATCAGCACAGGTGACCATGATGGAGTCCCAGAATCGCAAAAGAGCTCCAGCATGGACCGAACGGGAGGTACGGGATCTGATCGCTGTTTGGGGAGAGGAATCCGTGCTATCAGAACTCCGTTCCAGTTTTCGAAATGCCAAAACCTTTGTCAAAATCTCCCAGGGCATGAAGAACAGAGGCCATAACAGGGACCCGAAGCAGTGCCGCGTGAAACTGAAGGAGCTGAGGCAAGCCTACCAGAAAACCAGAGAGGCGAACAGCCGCTCTGGGTCAGAGCCCCAAACATGCCGCTTCTATGATGAGCTGCATGCCATTTTAGGGGGTTCTGCCACCACTACCCCTGCCGTGTTGTTTGACTCCTTCAATGGAGATGGAGGCAATACGGAAGCAGGTTTTGGGGACGAAGATGATGATGATGAGGAGGAGGCTGTAGATAGCTCACAGCAAGCAAGCAGAGAAACCGGTTTTCCCGACAGCCAGGAACTGTTTCTCACCCTAGACCTGGAGCCAGTACCCCCCGAACCCACCCAAGGCTGCCTCCTGGACCCAGCAGGCGGAGAAGGGACCTCTGGTGAGTGTACCTTTTAAAATACTATACATGGTTTAAAAGCAAGCATGTGAAAGGATTACTTTGCCCTGGCATTTGCGGTTCTCCTAGATGTAGTCCTAAAGCCTTTGCAAAAGGTTTCTGGGGAGGGCAGCCTTATTGCGTCCTTCATGGTAGGACACTTTACCACTCCAGGCCAGTAACACGTACTCGGGAATCATTGTACAACAAAGCATTGCAGTGTATGTTTGCTGGCATTCAAACAACATCCGTTCTTTATCTCTCTGTGTTATCCTCAGGAGAGTGAGATATAATTCATGGTCACCTGGTTGAAATAGAGTGCTTTTCTTCAGGGGACACTCAGAGGAGCCCATTCCTGCTGGGCTGTTTGCCTGTGGCTAAACAGAAATGTTCCCCGCTGTTAGCCACAGGGAGGGGGGAAGGTTGAGGGGGTAGTCACGCGGTGGGAGGAGGCAAAATGCGACCTTGTAACGAAAGCACATGTGCTATGTATGTAATGTTAACAGCAAGGTTTACCCTGAAAGAGTGTAGCCACTGTTTTATAAAATGTGTCTTTTTAAATACCGCTGTCCCTTTTTTTTTTTCTCCACCAGCTGCATGTGTTCCAATGATCACAGGATCTTCTCCTTCCCAGAGGCTAGTGAAGCTTAGAAAGAAAAAAAAAACGCACTCGCGATGAAATGTTCTCCGAGCTCATGCTGTCCTCCCACACTGACAGAGCACAGACGAATGCGTGGAGGCAAATAATGTCAGAGTGCAGAAAAGCACAAAATGACCGGGAGGAGAGGTGGCGGGCTGAAGAAAGTAAGTGGCGGGCTGAAGAGAGTAAGTGGCGGGCTGAAGACAGGGCTGAAGCTCAAATGTGGTGGCAGCGTGATGAGAGGAGGCAGGATTCAATGCTGAGGCTGCTGCAGGACCAAACCAGTATGCTCCAGTGTATGGTTGAGCTGCAGCAAAGGCAGCTGGAGCACAGACTGCCACTGCAGCCCCTCTGTAACCAACCGCCCTCCT